TCCCTCCAGCTCTCCTTACACACACACACACACACACACACAACACAATAACAGGCCGTGTCCTCCAGCTCTCCTTGCTAACAACCGCTCCCGAGTCCCAACACCTGAAAGGAGCGCAAGAGCACATCACAAAATATAACAGAAAAGCATCCTTCCCTCCCTGCACAATAAAACATAATGCCTTCCTGCGTAGCTACACATCCCTCCTTGCCCGCTTCCACACTCCCGACCACCTGAAAGCTCTTCCCCTCATCGCTACACGATAACAATAGCAGGCAGTTCCTCCAGCTCTCCTTGCCCGCTTCCACACTCCCGACCACCTGAAAGCTCTTCCCCTCACCGCTACATGATAACAGATGCTTCTTTTCCTACACAACTACACACCCCTCCCCGCTACATGATAACAGATGCTTCCTTTCCTACACAACTACACACCCCTCCCTCCCCACACACTAAATGGGCGCTTGCTCCATCCCTTCGCCTCTCTTCACCTCTCTTCGCCTGCTTCCATTCTCCCACCACCTAAAAAGAGCTCTCACTAATCACGAGGCCCCACTCACTCAGTCCATCATGGATCATATAGCAGCAGCACCATTTCGTCACACAATTGGGTCACGAGAAACTTCCAATTGCTGAAAAAGGGTTCAGGCCAGCTGTGTACTGCTGAAGCAGCTTGACGGCATACTGCTCCCCGCAATCAAGTCGACAACATCTAGTAAAACTTTGGTCGAAAGATATCCCTCCTACCTCCAGGCGATTACCAAAGAAAAGAATCTGCCTCTCAGGATCATTCTCCTCAAGGAGACAGCAAAAAAATGGGCTTTCAAAACTCTATACAGTAGGTAAGAGAACCCCGGCGAATAAGCTTAACGTTCTCTCACCTCAAAACAGTGGGGCCTCGCCGCAACAACCAAGACTCCACCTTCCCCCCGGCATGATGCTCATCCCTTGGTCATCAACATCATGTTTTCGAGTCCCACTCATGCTCACCTGTCCAACGTGGTGGTCCCCACCATACCACACCATACTACACCCGCCTTCCACACACGTTGCAGCATGTGAAAAAACACACGCACCCAGAAAGTGCAAGTACCGGCATGATGCTCATCACTTCGTCATCAACATAGCGTTGGAGTCCCTCCCATGCTCACCTGTCCAACGCGGTGGTCCCCACCATACCACACCATACTACACCTGCCTCCCAGCCACGTTCCATCATCTGAAAAACACACACGGACCCAAGGAGTGCAAGTACCGTGCCCAATTTCAAGGGGTACCAACCTGCCTCCCAGCTCGTTGGCTTTCCAACACACTTGTCCGTTTATCTGATGACTTGTTCGCTTGCCTCACAAAATGCTTCCCTCCACTGACGAATTCAGTGAATTCGGTACGTTACCCCCGTTATCGTTTCATGATTTCATCAGATTGTGTAATTATTCTGGTCCACGATTGTGTAAACCAACTCAACAGGGCACTGCTGTAATCGAAGCTCCACCCTCATCGGTTCAAGGGCCCTTTCCTGCCACAGACTCTCTCTCTCTCTCTCTGTCTGTCTCCATCAAGGATTAGCTTAGATATGGCCTCCTTGCTGAAGGCAAAGGCATACCCACACACCCTCCATAGAGCAGGTACTATGCCTTGTAGCATACCAGTCGATCAGCTGATCACCTTAAAAGTTTGTACTTCCTCTCACCAATCGTTCGGATAAACTTGCCTCAGCTTTTTCCCTGGCATGTACTGCCCATCTTGAAATCCAACAAAGAACTGTCCGCAGAATTCAACACACAGAAGAACCGCCAACAGGTGGACAGGCACATACACAGTGTTACACAGTAGCTCAGTGAGCATTGCATCGTAGACACCCAATCTTAATGATTTCTCAATCTGATTCAGTGGTACCGAATCCAGTTCCCGACTGCCTACACCAAATTTGAAAGGAGTTCATCTTCAAAACTCCAAAACTCACAGAGTCACCCACTGCACGCGCAAATTCCATTACAATCCCTAGCGCACAGCCACTCTTACGACATGCACCTTGTGAAAGGTATTCACTGAATGAAACAGCAAGAGGACATAGCAAACGACAGCACTGAAAACGACATGATGCAGGCTTCAGAGATTGTGAAAAGGACGAGGGACAAAAGATAACAGCAAAGAGGTGGCGCAAAGGAGACTAGGGTGCGGGGAGACGAAGAAGAGAATTATAAGAGATGTAGGCAAATGCAGTTGTACAGAACGCCCGGGTGGGGGGGGGGGGGGGGGGGGGGGGGGGGGGGGGGGGAGAGAGAGAGAGAGAGAGAGAGAGAGAGAGAGAGAGAGAGAGAGAGAGAGATGGAGGTGGTGGTGGTGGTGGTGGTGATGAACAGAGAGTGAAGAAAAACAGGGGAGAACGATTCCAATTCACATTCCCAGTTTCACTGCTTCTGATTGTGCACCGGAGATTGCTAGCAGAAAATCATCGGCGACTGGAACGGCGATGCAAAGAGGTTCAGGGACACAAATGCAAACTTGGAAAAGTTCAGGAACACAAATGCAAAGAGAACCATCCTCTCTCCAACATAGATGTCCTACTTATCTCAGTGCCAATAATTGTGGTCCTTTTCATCCACCTTCCGTCCCCATTCGACACAGCCGTGTCTCAAGTCCAAACTGTGTGTCTACTCACAAGTTCAAACCCCCTCATCTTCCTCATCACGATGCTGTAGGAGGGTTTCAATCCGTCCATGCCAGCACGATTTCAGAGTAGTAAAACTTTGTGAAACAGTGAAAGTGAAAAGTTCAACTGGGAAATCATTATAGCACGGTTATGGGAGAAAAAAACGACACAAAACCAAACGCATTTAACACAACACTCACCTTGCTGACCCATGGGTGGAGGACCGGACGAGGGGTCGGCTGGAGTGCAATGCTCTCTTCCGCAACTGGATAGCATATCAATATAGACATCCACACAAAAGAAAGAAATACATATCAGACTCAAGAGTGAATGATTAATATAGTGAATGCTTAATATCAGACTCAAGAGTGAATGATTAATCAAGATGAGCAAGTAAAATGCTATCAATATCCTATGCTTGGTCCTGTCCAAGGCTGTCCTGTCATTATCAATGTCGATTAATTTTGAATAAATTTTGGTGGCAGAGTTGCTGACACTGCCTGACAGTAATTAACAGGAGGATCATAAATTCAGCAGCACGCACGGCTATAAATTCCGATAATTAGTACTAACAGAAAGGGAAGACAATCGCACAAATGCAAAACAGCGAACAACAAATGCGTGACAAGGAGTCCGACACACTCAGTCTCTGCCAATTACAGTAGACCAGACTGCTACAAAAATAACTCGGCAACTCGGGAGTTCAAAATCAATTTTTTTCTTTTCTTTTTTTTTTACTTTTATTTTTAGAAAGAAAAAAATACCGACCCCTCCTATTCTGCGGAGCATCAGTCCAGTCGCTTATCACCGGGCCGGCCAAGCATTCTACATACATAGAAAAAATTAATATGAAATTTAATGAAAACATTGAAAAGTCATCCCCTTGGATGCTTAAGGAGAGACAGTCATCAATCCTCCTTCAGGCTTCAGGACATCAGACGTTAAAATTGGAACACTACACAGAAGATTACCATGGCCTTTGCGCACTGACGACATGCAAAAAAAAAAAGAAAAAAAAAGACATGAAAACATTGAGAAGGAAAAAAAAAGAAAAAGAAGAAGGATAGACGGCCATCAGAAGAGGCTGCCAGAAGAAGCTACAGCACAGTTTCAAATTGGTGGTCCACGCAAACAAATGCTTCCAACTTACCGTAAGTAGACATTCCACCGGGCCGATCTCTTGTGTCCACCAGTATGTGGTAGAATGGCTGCATCACATGGCCCACACAAATCGAGGACTTTAACCTCATTTCAAATTCGGATCATCAACTTGAAGTCGACCTAGCGCACGTCTGAAACAGTTAGTGCTCTGGATCACTGAAAATAAGGCGCCAAAGTGCCCACCCTATGTGAAGGCAGGCCTGCATTTTTGCTGCCGTACCCTATGTGAAGGCAGGCCTGCATTTTTGCTGCGGCCATACGGCTATACTAAGTCTTCCCCACTGCGCTTCAGCGTATAGGCCGTTCTGGCAATCAGAACGGGGCCAAAACCAATTAATTTTCAAGAGTTTCTCACTATTAAGTCTTGCACCTCGTCATCCACAGCGTAACTGTTCCCCATACAGTCTCATATTAGAGCAAATTTGTCAATTTAAATTTGAAATTTCACAATTCCAGATTAATTTTATGTTAAACTTTGCGATTCTACAAATTTCTACCATTTACACAAAGGATAGTGAATATGAACACATTAGATAAAATTTAATGTCATATACCCACATTAATCAAATTGTTTATTTACTTCCTCTGAGAGATATACGCCCAGAGGCTAGAGCAGATTAACAAATTTTAACGCTACCCCACCCCAACCAGAAACCCCCCTCCGGAACCTTTATTATTATTATTATTTTTTTTAACTGATCAGGACAGATACTACACTTGATCTTAGCCAAAAGGCCGAGATTCCCCTCCTGAACCTTAATACCAAGAATTTTGAAGGAGATGATGACTGAAACTAAGGCAGCACAAATACTCTACCAGACTAGCAAGAGACTTCCGATGTTCGGAGGACTGACCAATCTCATGCCCACGTCAGCCGGCAACCATGATCCAACGAATCATCCCAGGTAGTGCCGCACTGGAGCACGAAGAGTTCATAAGCATACTGAACATATATTAGGTTTAGAGTCTTTAGACCGGCATCTCAAACTATTGTCAAAGAACTCCGAACATTGTAGAAAATGAAGCCGCTTCCTATATAGTCAGCAAGACCGACTCTGATCATATGATTCATATGAATCATATCCACCCCACAATTCCAACCCTACCCCATAACAGAAGACTTATCGTGTACATGCTACAAACTCACAAAGTGCTGCAGGTGTGCCGCTCGGCAGAGTAACCACCAGGATCTCACTCATGGCTTACTCATAGTTGTAGATCAGACCATATCAACACAAGACTTAGTATTTTGGAACTCTCACGCGTTTTAGAGAGCGGCGACAACATTAACAAATTAATAACAAACCCTCCTCACCTAACACAGGCACGCACATACACACACTGCAGAGACAAAATGAAAGAAATCATGCCAGAAGGTTACAGAGAAATAGAGAATCTGATGCAATTATAGCACAAAAAGATCCTGTTCAATGTGTGTTGATAACATTACCTGTTGACGTCCCTCGGGGAGCATGTCAATCTTCATAGCCTCTTGCCAATCTTCCGGGGCTGAACACTCAGGATCATGCCCATAAACCACTCCACGATAACCTTCTCACACGGCAGAAAACAGGGACAGAAGCATCCGACATCAGCATTCTCAGGCACAGGAAACATGAAAAACAGCCATCAAACCTCTTCACCAGAACGAGAGTCGCATGCAACTTCAGCGTGACAAGCAGCCATCAAACCTCATGAGAAGCAAGAGTTTCATCGGCAACCTAAACGTGAAAAGCAGCCATCAATTCATCTGCCTGCGACTTCAATCACGATGCGTGAAAGAAATTGATTATTGTCACGACTTGGACAACGACGAGAACTTCAAGTACTACTGCGAAAGATATTGTACTATGATTTAAGGGCAATCCTAGGCTTAACAAGAACAATGGACTTTTCACCCCACACCACAGGGACTTGGTTCTCTCCAATACTGACAGGGAGTTGGGACACACACACTACCACATGCACACACACACATACACACACACACACACACACACACACACACACACACACACACACACACACACACACACACACACACACACACACAC